CACTAGACCCCCCTTTCCATTTAAGATTTTAGCGGTGGTGTCACCCACGCTTGGGTGGTTGCACATGCTATCGTGATTTTTTGCCGAACTTGTGTCCCAGTCGAAAACAAAATCGACGGGTCTGAGAGTTTTTCAAAACAAAAACTGAGCTGCCATTAAATGCGTCTGTTTCATTTTCGATGCGCCACCCTGTATAACGAATGTCAATGAAGAAATAGTTTTTCAACCAATAAAGTGACAGTGATAGTACTGACTACTGACAGTCATAGCAGGTTGTTTATTCTGTCTATTTTGATGTGAAGCTAGCCCCAAAATTTCAAGCTTTGTTAAATTTTTTCATGTAAATGTTTGGGTAGTATTTTTATTCAAGCTGGACAAGAAGTGAATAGGTTTTGAACCATAGAACCTCAGAAGGATAGGTGACCACAAATCAGCATTGCATATAGAGTGGCCGATATGTAGCTGGCTGGTTTGTATCTTGAATATTTGTGAAATGAAATAAAATTATATATATATATATATATATATATATATATAACAACAAGTGGGAAAATAATGGGCAAAATCCGCAAAAAGGAGGAAAGTGGATTCGAGCAGAAAATAGGATAGGTAACCCGAGCGATACGTATTTCTGCTGGTTGGCTTCATCAGGCCCGAAATGAATGCACATATGAAACTACAAAGGTAGATACACATGCCCACACATCCGGATACGGGTGTAACCTGAGGAAACGAAGTTGGAGGAAAAAAAAAAACGACACACGAAGTCCACAACAAGAGCCAACCTACACATTGTAGTGTAAAATGGCTATACGACCTCGAATTTTCAAGGAGACGTCTAACCACCACCACGCGGCCGGTTATAGCCACCTGCTGTGGTACTTCAAGCCCAAAGGATCTACAAAGAGAATATTATCATGCGGAGAAAGGTATATAACAACAAGTGGGAAAATAATGGGCAAAATCCGCAAAAAGGAGGAAAGTGGATTCGAGCAGAAAATAGGATAGGTAACCCGAGCGATACGTATTTCTGCTGGTTGGCTTCATCAGGCCCGAAATGAATGCACATATGAAACTACAAAAGTAGATACACATGCCCACACATCCGGATACGGGTGTAACCTGAGGAAACGAAGTTGGAGGAAAAAAAAAAACGACACACGAAGTCCACAACAAGAGCCAACCTACACATTGTAGTGTAAAATGGCTATACGACCTCGAATTTTCAAGGAGACGTCTAACCACCACCACGCGGCCGGTTATAGCCACCTGCTGTGGTACTTCAAGCCCAAAGGATCTACAAAGAGAATATGATCATGCGGAGAAAGGTATATAACAACAAGTGGGAAAATAATGGGCAAAATCCGCAAAAAGGAGGAAAGTGGATTCGAGCAGAAAATAGGATAGGTAACCCGAGCGATACGTATTTCTGCTGGTTGGCTTCATCAGGCCCGAAATGAATGCACATATGAAACTACAAAAGTAGATACACATGCCCACACATCCGGATACGGGTGTAACCTGAGGAAACGAAGTTGGAGGAAAAAAAAAACGACACACGAAGTCCACAACAAGAGCCAACCTACACATTGTAGTGTAAAATGGCTATACGACCTCGAATTTTCAAGGAGACGTCTAACCACCACCACGCGGCCGGTTATAGCCACCTGCTGTGGTACTTCAAGCCCAAAGGATCTACAAAGAGAATATGATCATGTGGAGAAAGGTATATAACAACAAGTGGGAAAATAATGGGCAAAATCCGCAAAAAGGAGGAAAGTGGATTCGAGCAGAAAATAGGATAGGTAACCCGAGCGATACGTATTTCTGCTGGTTGGCTTCATCAGGCCCGAAATGAATGCACATATGAAACTACAAAAGTAGATACACATGCCCACACATCCGGATACGGGTGTAACCTGAGGAAACGAAGTTGGAGGAAAAAAAAACGACACACGAAGTCCACAACAAGAGCCAACCTACACATTGTAGTGTAAAATGGCTATACGACCTCGAATTTTCAAGGAGACGTCTAACCACCACCACGCGGCCGGTTATAGCCACCTGCTGTGGTACTTCAAGCCCAAAGGATCTACAAAGAGAATATGATCATGCACTTCGTTTCCTCAGGTTACACCCGTATCCGGATGTGTGGGCATGTGTATCTACTTTTGTAGTTTCATATGTGCATTCATTTCGGGCCTGATGAAGCCAACCAGCAGAAATACGTATCGCTCGGGTTACCTATCCTATTTTCTGCTCGAATCCACTTTCCTCCTTTTTGCGGATTTTGCCCATTATTTTCCCACTTGTTGTTATATACCTTTCTCCGCATGATCATATTCTCTTTGTAGATCCTTTGGGCTTGAAGTACCACAGCAGGTGGCTATAACCGGCCGCGTGGTGGTGGTTAGACGTCTCCTTGAAAATTCGAGGTCGTATAGCCATTTTACACTACAATGTGTAGGTTGGCTCTTGTTGTGGACTTCGTGTGTCGTTTTTTTTTTTCCTCCAACTTCGTTTCCTCAGGTTACACCCGTATCCGGATGTGTGGGCATGTGTATCTACTTTTGTAGTTTCATATGTGCATTCATTTCGGGCCTGATGAAGCCAACCAGCAGAAATACGTATCGCTCGGGTTACCTATCCTATTTTCTGCTCGAATCCACTTTCCTCCTTTTTGCGGATTTTGCCCATTATTTTCCCACTTGTTGTTATATACCTTTCTCCGCATGATCATATTCTCTTTGTAGATCCTTTGGGCTTGAAGTACCACAGCAGGTGGCTATAACCGGCCGCGTGGTGGTGGTTAGACGTCTCCTTGAAAATTCGAGGTCGTATAGCCATTTTACACTACAATGTGTAGGTTGGCTCTTGTTGTGGACTTCGTGTGTCGTTTTTTTTTTCCTCCAACTTCGTTTCCTCAGGTTACACCCGTATCCGGATGTGTGGGCATGTGTATCTACTTTTGTAGTTTCATATGTGCATTCATTTCGGGCCTGATGAAGCCAACCAGCAGAAATACGTATCGCTCGGGTTACCTATCCTATTTTCTGCTCGAATCCACTTTCCTCCTTTTTGCGGATTTTGCCCATTATTTTCCCACTTGTTGTTATATACCTTTCTCCGCATGATCATATTCTCTTTGTAGATCCTTTGGGCTTGAAGTACCACAGCAGGTGGCTATAACCGGCCGCGTGGTGGTGGTTAGACGTCTCCTTGAAAATTCGAGGTCGTATAGCCATTTTACACTACAATGTGTAGGTTGGCTCTTGTTGTGGACTTCGTGTGTCGTTTTTTTTTTCCTCCAACTTCGTTTCCTCAGGTTACACCCGTATCCGGATGTGTGGGCATGTGTATCTACTTTTGTAGTTTCATATGTGCATTCATTTCGGGCCTGATGAAGCCAACCAGCAGAAATACGTATCGCTCGGGTTACCTATCCTATTTTCTGCTCGAATCCACTTTCCTCCTTTTTGCGGATTTTGCCCATTATTTTCCCACTTGTTGTTATATACCTTTCTCCGCATGATCATATTCTCTTTGTAGATCCTTTGGGCTTGAAGTACCACAGCAGGTGGCTATAACCGGCCGCGTGGTGGTGGTTAGACGTCTCCTTGAAAATTCGAGGTCGTATAGCCATTTTACACTACAATGTGTAGGTTGGCTCTTGTTGTGGACTTCGTGTGTCGTTTTTTTTTCCTCCAACTTCGTTTCCTCAGGTTACACCCGTATCCGGATGTGTGGGCATGTGTATCTACTTTTGTAGTTTCATATGTGCATTCATTTCGGGCCTGATGAAGCCAACCAGCAGAAATACGTATCGCTCGGGTTACCTATCCTATTTTCTGCTCGAATCCACTTTCCTCCTTTTTGCGGATTTTGCCCATTATTTTCCCACTTGTTGTTATATACCTTTCTCCGCATGATCATATTCTCTTTATATATATATATATATAATACGTCCATTTTTTATCTCAATCTTTTATTGAAACTTAGAAATTGTGTTTGCAAAATAATATCAGACAAATGTCCGCCTCTAGAAGCCGCGCAAACCTGAGCCCTCTTTATTACATTTCCGCCACTTTTTCGAAATGCGCACAATTTGAATCAGTCAGTTATATATTGGTCACCCTGTATAACAAAAATCCGAACAATTCAATTCATTTGGAACACTGCATATTTCTGGTATTTCAATTTTATCTGTGATCTAAAACTCATATTTTTATTATATTTTGACCAATATATTTTTGTAAGTTGAAACTATTTTGAATAGTCTTCTCCAGCTTTACAAATTTCGGCTATAGCGCTGAATGAGGGAGATATAACCTTACCAAATAAGCTCTTCCCTATTTTCCGTAACTAATGGAGATTTTGGTTATTTCGATAATGGATAAGGGCCTGCGCTGCGCAGAATCAAACTAATAAAGTCTATTACTAAAACGGATCTGCTAGAAAATTTATACTGGGCACTTTCAAAAATGATTTGACCTCAACAAGACGTCTTGATCAAATGAAAAATAAAAAGGTAGAATGCGTCTCAGTAATCAACTCCGGCGCCGGCAGCGTAAGTAATCATAGCGTTTACAAATCGGTTTTAAGTGACACACTACGACTTTAATTTATGGTAAGCGTCTTCAGAGTACTACCAAGGCTTCCCGGGTGTAAGCAGATCGTTTTTCAAAATCTCTTGTGATTTCGTTCTTTGGGGCTGTAGTATATTAAGTACGCCCCTGGTTCCCCGAAAATTGCGCATGTACGATGAGTACTCTCACCGGGATACGTTTGACACACAGTATGTCGGGGTTCCGGATTTGAAACAGTTATCGATGATATATAATAAACCATTAGTATACTTCCGGGTATTATTGATACCAACTAAGACATTACATGGCGACGAGGGTTATTAAAGAACTCGCCGGGTGAGGTTAAGTGTGTGTAAACTCCCCGTTTGTGTTGAAACCTCCAGTTGTTGGTGAACCAATCTGTGCACAAGAAAGATGGCAGTTGCAGCAGCGGGTCCCGTGCTCACAGTCAATCCCAAGGAGAACGAGTGGGAAGTTTTCTTCAAAAGGTTAGAGCAGTATTTTATAGTACACGGGGTCACTGAAGAAGCTGACAAGAGAGCTCATTTGCTGTATAGTTTGTCTGAGGAGGCGTATATTTTATTAGAAAATTTATGTATGCCGCAAAAGCTGGAAGAAACCCCATACCAAGACATAGTTCAGTTATTGTCTAACTACTATGGTAAAACTGCTGTTGTATGGGTCGAAAGGCAGAAGTTTTATAGTGCATCCAAATCAGGAAATGAGACGGCACTAGAATGGAGTGTACGACTTAAAGGTTTAGCTCGCTATTGCAATTTTGGTCAACAGCTTGAGTCCAAGCTAACGGACATTTTTGTTACGCAGTTCAATCCTGGGAAGGTGAGAACTGAATTATTCAGCCTAAACGAGAACACCACCTTAAATAACGCTGTTGAAAAGGCCAAAATTATCGAAGCAACGCTAGTAATAAGAGACCCAGTTGGTGAAGTTAAAAGCGAGGTCTTAGAATCCGATGTTTTTCGAATTAGACAAAATAATTCAAATGTTGGTGCCACTGCCGATCAACATCAAGATCCTCAACGGTATCATAGAGGGACAGCAGTACCTGCAGCGCAGCGGAGCCAAGGAGGCACGCGCAGGAGTGGGGGCAACAGCTCAAACATGGCGCTGCAGCAGCTACAGCCGTTCACATCGTCTGGTCGCTCTCCGGGCTGTTTCCGCTACGGGAGGAACCACAACAGTAATGTATGCCCCTATAAGGATTATATTTGTAACTCTTGTCATGGTAGGGGTCATCACAGTGTGGTGTGTAAAAAGAAAAAACAATCCTCACCTAAGCACGTTAATTATGTTTTTCCTAATAATGATATTGCTGAGGATTATACAGACGTTTTTTCATCCCCAGTTCTAAGTATTTCTAGCTTAGGAAGCAACAATGATGTGCCACTATATATCGATATTTTAGTTGAGAATGTCATGTTGAAATTTGAACTTGACAGTGGATCAGCTGTTAGTGTTTTGCCACTTCATGTTTACAAAACATATTTTGGTGCTCACGTCATGAAAAAAACAAATGTTTCCTTGATTAATTTTTCTGGCAATAAGATCATCCCACATGGCACAATCAACTTAAATGTTAAATTTAATTTCAAAGATAGCATCCTACGCTTTTTTGTTGTTGATGGTAACAATCCATTGCTCCTAGGTCGAGATTTTATTAGGAATTATAATATGGGATTTAGAGAAATTCATTATTTGAACAACGATGCTGTTGATGCTCTATGTAATGAGTTTCCTGGCGTTTTTGCAACCAATTTGGGAAGGTTCAACAAGTGTAAGATCTCCATAAATATTAAACTTGATGCAAATCCCATTTTCCATAAACCTAGACCGTTACCATTTGCAATTAAAGGTAAAGTGGAGGAGGAATTAGATAAATTAGTCTCTAATGGTATAATATCTCCAGTGGAGTTTTCAGAATGGGGTACCCCAATAGTACCAATTTTGAAGGAAGATGGAGGAATAAGAATTTGTTGTGATTATAAGGTAACTATTAATTCAGCTATTCTAGTGGACAAATTTCCCTTGCCTAGAATTGGCGACATATTCACAAAACTGAAAAATGGAAAGCAGTTTTCCAAAATTGATCTCTCATCGACTTACAATCAAATAGAGCTCGAGGACTCTTCAAAAAAATTTACGACTATTTCGACTCACAAAGGTTTATTCGAATTCAATAGATTGCCGTTTGGAATAAACTGCGCTCCAGCACAATTTCAAAGAATTATGGAGCAGCTGTTCAATAAAATGCCCCGTGTATGTGTATTTCTTGATGATATTTTAGTTACAGGTATCGATAAAGAAGATCATATTAGAAATTTGAAAAGGGTTTTACTTTGTCTTTTCGAATGTGGTCTCACTGTTAGAAAAGAAAAGTGTGTGTTTTTGGCTGATTCCATTTCATATTTAGGGTTTGTTATAGACGAGACAGGCCTACATAAAAGTTTAGAAAGAGTTAAGGCAATACGCGACATTTCTCCACCAGAAAATGTCACTCAACTTAAGTCTTTTTTAGGCAGTATCACTTATTATAATCGTTTCATCAGAAATCTCCCAGACATACTTCACCCTTTATATAATCTTTTGAAAAAAGATGTAAGTTGGTCATGGGATAAAACATGTCAGGATTCATTTGAGTATATTAAACTTGCATTATGTTCTGACGATGTGTTGGTGCATTATAATCCTGACCTACCAGTTACTTTGACTATTGATAGCTCGGACTATGGAGTGGGAGCAATTGAAGGGCTTGGGGCAGTAAGGGACCTAAGCCTCATTGGGTTTATTTTGACAAAAAAGGCATTGTAAGTTTTGTGTAAATCCTGAAATCAGGTTTTTTGCAACAATCGGCTAGAACTGATGCAATACATTTCCAACTCAGGTAACTAGGATTTGGTGGCGACTAATTCGAAAAATTGTGACACATTTCCGTAGAAAAAATTTATTTTTGAAAATTTTGTGGCTTGGTGCCTTATTACAAAAAAAAATAATGCATTCTGATGATAGCTTGAATAACTCATTTAGTCCAAATTCACTTCTTCATCATCGCCATCTATATCTTCAGCCTCTTCTTCTCCTTCCTTCGGCTGTTCACTGCCTGGCTCTGCTTCAATTGTATTTCCTACAATATCAACAAAAAACTGCTGACTAATCGGCGGGATATATTTTAGAAGCTTTTTCAGATCTTTGATCTTCTTGTCATTCAGTGCTAGAGGTCCATTGTATTTTCTTCTCAAATCTGTCAGGGTTCGTTGACTTCCCAGCCGAGATCCTCTTTTACCCACATTTACCTCAAGAAATTGTCCGTTAAGGGTATGTTTTATGAACATAGAATTGGGATGTTCACTGTCAAACTTGAAACAGCGCACTTCATTAAATTTGACGGCCTCCTTATGTACGGTAGATTGTTTATTCGTAATAGAGATGGAATCAAATGCATAAAAGTCATGTTGTTCCAATAAGACTGTGTCAAATGGGCTTTTTCTGTTGGATTTCTTAACGATATCCACCCAGTCTTCTGGACAGTATACCTGCTTGATGTACCTCTTATGCTTCTCAATGATGGCAAAGTCTCTATCTGAAGGCAAGTGAGTGTGGCCAGGAATAAGGAAACGGTGCTCTATGGACTTGAAGAATCCTTCGCGAACAAGTTGCAACCACAAAGACATGATTACCCAGTTTTTGTTCTGGCCTCCACAGTTATCAGTGAAAACTACCAAGTGCTCTTTAGTGGAAGATATACCTTGTAAGTATTTCAGCAGGATGCTTGCAATCTCTTCACTTCCCCTTTTTGCAGTAGTTTCTGCCCACAAAAACATGCTACCTTTGCCAGTGACACAATCGTGTATGCCGAGGTTGTACGTCCAAGCCTTTCGTAAATAGAAGGCAGGACCCACAGTTAGCGAAGGCGTGGGAAGAGTCTGCTGTAAATCAAATGATATTATACACGTGGAATTTTTCGCATTGTCTGATACCTCTTTTTTCAAGCTATCCTGCATGGCAAGTGCTCTCGTCTGATGAAGCTGCAGTTGTGTTTTAAATTCATTGAATTCCTCCAGGTTTTCTTTATTTGCTTCCATTTGATTATTAAGGAAGTCGCATGTATGACAAGTATCACTCTTGGGCAACTTAAATCCTATATTGTAATCAGAACAGAATATTCGTCTATACCGATCTTCTTTTACTGGTGCTATTCCACGTTCTTTGCACCACTCAACATAATAGTCCTTGTAGAGAGTAGATATGTTGAGGTCGTGGTTTAGAAAAACTCTATTTGGATTAACTTTCCGACTGTAATGGCTCACATATTTCGGAATGGCTTTAATATGGTCATGAACAGACTGAACTCTTTCTGCAGAAATTTTGTTGGGTCTGTTTTGATGTTTGCCCCTACCGTCCCTTTTTGGAGTTGTCCTGCCTTCAACAATTTGCTGAGCGATAAGTTTTAATCGCTTACTGGAGTTTTGAAGTCCATGGACCGATAAAAATTCAGTCTTACATATTTGAATGTCAACTCCATTTACTTTGACAAAATATTGGTTTGTTACTCGTCGAGCCGATTCCGCGCGTTTAGTTTTTTTTTTTGTAGCTTCTCTTTTTAGGTATAACCTTCACAGTAGAAAATAGATATGTATTCTGTTCGTCATACGAGTTCAAGTCCCAAAATGCATGGAATATAGTAGAAGCAGTTTCTTGGAGCAGTTGTCTGCAGTTCTTTTTGCACTGACATGGTGGACCTAATACTTTAGACTCTCGTTGTCGACCTTTGAAATCTATGTAACTGTGGCCAAGATTTCTGCGTGTTTTCGATTTCACTCTTGCTCTGCCTTCAATATTACGTTTTCTCCATCTCGATTTATTTGGTTTTTCTGGTGTAAACATCTTGCCTCTGCTTACAGCAACCTAAAAGCCATTTTATTGTTACAAAAAAACATCATTTGACGAATGCCTATTTCAGTTGATTATCATAATAATAACTAAAATTATTTGTGACAGTAAATCTCAGTTCTATTTTGCAAAAGTTATCGCTATTCCCGGATACTGAAAAACGTCACAAGACACAGACATCAATTTAGCTGGCGAAGGGCATAAGCCCCTTGCACAAAATTACATATTTTTATCATGTGTTCAGGAGTTATTTGCTGTTAAAAATGGCCTCTGTAAATTAGGATTACGATATACTCTGAGGAATGATTAGTCTGAAATCATAATCTAGTAATACTGCAGAAGTAATATTAAAAAATTGCACTCCTATGTGAAAAAAGCATAAGCCACATCTATAACGGCATTAAGGTCACAAGCCACAAGTTTATTTATTCACCTGAGTTTCTCGTTCGGAGTCACTGTCAGAACTGCTGCTAGTCGGATTATAGTCTCTGTCCTTTACACTATTATCTGATCCAAATTCAGAACCATCTTCGCTCTCCGAATCACTAAAACATCCATTATTTTCACCCGCGAACAATTTCCGCTTGGCGTCCATCTTGAAATGTATGTGGCTTATGTCCTTTTCGGCGTAAAAATTTGTAGACTAAACCAATCTGTCAAAAACGCTCTTCATGGATTATAGCGACATCTACCAGCGGATCATCAAACAAATCAACTTCAGACATAGATACCTACTCAACGAGTTCGCTCGTATGGAAATCTAATTTTTCATCAAAAGTGGCTAAGGTCCCTTACTGCCCCAAGCCCTTCAATTTTATCTCATGTTCTTGAAAATGATGTCGAAAAGCCAATTTGTTATGCGTCAAGAACTCTCTCGAAAAACGAATTGGCATACTCTATTCTGGATAAAGAAGCTACCGCGATTGTTTGGAGTATTAAACGATTTTACCAATATTTGTGGGGCAGAAAATTTACCTTGGTCACAGATAATAAGGCACTCATGTCAATTTTTGGACCTAAAACGGGTGTTTCAGTGATGGCAGCAAATAGACTGCAGAGATATGCACATTTTCTGAGTGGCTTCAATTTTGATATCAAGCATGTGTCATCCATTCAATATATAGCTGACTTCTTAAGCAGAATGCCGATTGAAGATGACATGTCTGTGCAACTGATCGACTTCCCCATTCATTTAAATTATCTCACTAATTCCGATTCTAGTATACCAGTCGATGTTAGCAAGGTCAGAGAACTTACATCCTCAGATTCAGTACTTTCTGAGGTACTCAATTTTGTTAAAAAGGGGTGGCCTGCAAGTCATAAAAGTAATGAATTGAAACCTTATTTCAGTAGGAAAAATGAAATCAATGTTGAAGACGGTGTCCTGCTTTGGGGACATCGAGTTATCATACCATTTCAGTTACGAGAGGTGATATTGAAGGAGTTGCATGCTACCCATTTGGGAATTGTTAAAATGAAGTATCTTGCGAGATCTTACTTTTGGTGGCCGTCCTTGACTGATGATATTGAAAGTGTTAGTAAGCAGTGCAACATATGTCAACGCTTGCAATCATCGCCGGCCAAGGCACCGTTACAATGTTGGCAAATACCCGAGGGCATTTGGTCGCGGATACATATAGATTTTTTTGAACCGAAGAAAAACAATTTCTTTTTGATTGTCGTTGATGCCTTTTCCAAATGGCTTGAAGTATTTCCGATGGCATCTGTTACCACTAACATGACTATTACTAAGCTGCGAGAACTTTTTTCTAGATTTGGATTGCCTAAGACTATTGCAAGTGATAATGGTCCCCAGTTAGTGTCAGAAGAATTTAAACAATTTGCAAATGTTAATGGTATTAAACTAATAACTATTCCGCCTTATGAACCTCATTGTAATGGTGCAGCTGAGAATAGCGTAAAAACTGTTAAAATTTTTTTGAAAAAGGTTAGTGATGAAAAGAACTGTAATTTACTATTAGCTCAGTTCCTTAAATACTGTTCACTGTTCTACTGGTTATTCTCCTGCTAAAGTATTTTTAGGTCGTTCGTTGAGAACTCGATTTGACATGCTTAGACCAAGCTCAGTCCAAGACAATGAAAAAGTTGAACTTGAAAATGTTTACCAAAACATACAACGTTCTCAACGAAGAAACGCAAAATACTTCAGAGGAAATAGGAAAGTATGTTTTAATATTGACCAAGTTGTGTTGGTTAAAGATTATCGCGATAAACAAGTAACTTGGTGTAAAGGACAAGTTGTTAAAATTTTAGGGAAAAACGTTTACGTTGTTCGACCACTAGATTCAAATTTCCTTTGGAAAAGACATACTAATCAGATCAGAGAACTAAATGATGATTATTCGTTGGTCTACCCACCCTGCGTGGAGCTACCGCACACTGTAAACGTTTTTTCCAATAGTGATGGCGCCAGCAATACTTCTGCCGGTAGTTCGGTTGATGATGTGTTTGTGGATGCCGGAATCGCGGATAGTGAACGCGTGGATGTCAGTGACTCGGATTCTAGCTCCATTGGTGAACAGGCTGAACTTACACGACCCATACGTATCCGTAAGGTACCGGATAGGCTCCAATACTAACCATTCATTAATTGTTTCTTTTTTTTATTATTACCCATCTGATCACTGTTAACAATTTTCGGGGGAGATGAATGTAGTATATTAAGTACGCCCCTGGTTCCCCGAAAATTGCGCATGTACGATGAGTACTCTCACCGGGATACGTTTGACACACAGTATGTCGGGGTTCCGGATTTGTAACAGTTATCGGTGATATATAATAAACCATTAGTATACTTCCGGGTATTATTGATACCAACTAAGACATTACAGGGGCGAAATGGAACGTTCAATTTATAAAACCACTGGTTAATGCATTCTGTCACAACTGTTTCTCTATTAACTATATGCAGAGTTTCCTTTATGTTGTGATTTCCCTTCACAGAGCATATAGGTTTTTTAAACCGAAGGTCAGGCAACAAAAGGCAAGCTTTTCTAGTAACACATGCACCAAAGCCTCAAAATAACCCAGATATTAAGTTCCGGAAAACTCGGAGGGGGTCAAGCCTGACCTTCAGCCTACGCCACAAGGTATGACATTTTGTGGTACAACTACGCCAGTATACAAATCAGGCGGCGCTGTTGATAAATAATCTATAAGGATCTTAAGCAAATTGTGTTTTTTGAATTAAACGGTGACAGTATTCACCAGCAAAACAAGTGACAGGGCAGTTCTTGAAGTTCCTGGTCAAATGAAGAGTGCGTAATTTCTTCAATTTGTTTTTTATATTGTGACTGCTTTTTTACCGCACATTAGCTTTGTTATTTCAAACGTAGTTGTTTCTGAAAAGGAAAGGCCCTAACTTCCATGTCACCCCACATACTTTGAAACAGTTAGTGTCACTTAGAATTCTAACAGATGACATTATGGTAACTGATTTTATCACGGATAACTTTTTGGACACACGAATGTAGCGCTACCCGTAAGTTGGTGACCACCATTCATTTGGGGACGGCAGTCCATTCTTGAAGCCTACACAGATGCTTGGATGCGTCGAGTACATATACATGTACACGTATTTGAATCTATCGAAACAATGGACCAGTATTAACAAGTGCTAGAGCCGTACTTACAATTTCTTTTCGAATGAACGATGAGTAGCTTTTCAGTTTTTTTTTTCCACTTTTATATTGCTGTTTCGCCGCACATTGGCTTTGTTATTTCAAGCGTAGGTAGTTGTTCTGAAAAGGTAAGTCCCAAGTTTCACGACATCCTGTATTTCAAACCGACAAAGACAGTGATAAACCAGTTTGTGGTACAGTTCGAGATACCTGGTACCAAGAAATCTTCTTCATACTACGTTAACTTGTGCTCAACTTGTGTAAGTGAGGCAGTATAAATGCCTAGACAATGCGTTGGTCCGACAGAGTAAAAAACCATGAATGCCCGGTAGTAAATTTACAGGTACCACTACTGGAAGTCCTATTCCTATACTCATGCGATATCTGATAAGAATACTTTTAATGAGGGAAGCCCTCCTTCAACCCTTAAAGAAAAGTTACTTGAGTTGATATTCATCTTGTCGTTCAACAATCTGAGAGAGTATCGTCAGATAGACGTTCTCTTGCATTTAATTTAATACATATGTTACCGGTAATCTGTATAATTCAGGTATTCCTTACAATACCTAGGCAATGTATAGAATACCTGGGTTGCCCAGGCAATGTATGAAATATTATGAATATTATTATCCATTACATACTTTACCTAAGTAATGAATACCATTCCTAGGGATTGTATAAAGTACCTGCTATTCCACCTGCAATGTGTAAAATAAATGGATCTTGGTCTAAATGTATCTATGTTTATCGGCATACCTATAAAATGACGGGCAAATGTTTATTTAAAATCAACTTTCTTAAAACTAACAATTAGAGTGCTCCTTAAAAATAAGCTTTATGAAAAGGGTACAAAAAAGTACCTTTCTGTTACTACAGTAAAGTCACAGTAAAATTAACGTGAAACTAAAGATTATTCTGGCTATAAGTAACATAGTTCCGTTCCTTACTCTCATCTTTTACATACATTACCGGCAGCGCATTCGGTATTGTATAGAATACCTACGCAAAGTATAAAACAAATAATATTTCATACATTACCTACACGATTCTGGTATTTTATACATTACCTAGGTATTGTATAGAATACCTAATTATACAGATTGCCGGTAACATATACAATGGTTTAGACAATGCATAGAATAACATAAGTGAGGTAAGGTTTACTCGCGAGCGCACAAAATATTAGTGAACCGGCAACTACAAGAATAAAATGGTTAGGCGCGCTAGAAAACAATAAATTGATATACTAGGGCTCATTTTGTTCAAAGGCGGTAGAAAATATTCCGTCGAGTGCTGTATAATGAAAAATAATTGTATAATTCAGCTACATGTCGCTTGAAATCTCAGGAGATAAAAGCTTTATCGATCTAAATTTACAGGGTGTTTCAGAACTAAGGGATAAAACTTTTCCGGATATAGGTCCCTATACTCAAATGTTTTCTACTGTTACACTGAATAACCCCTAGAAGTTTTATCCCTTAGTTCTGAAACACCCTGTACATTTAGATATAGGTCCCTATACTCAAATGTTTTCTACTGTTACACTGAATAACCCCTAGAAGTGTAACTACGGCACTACGGCTTTAAGACGGGTTAAAATTTAGAAAGACGATGAATTGAATAGACTTTAATGAATTTAATTTTTGCCTTTTGTACATGATATCATCACAATTGTTCTAAAATGTCTTCCTCCAACCCGAATACACCGATTTAAACGTCTCACATGATTTCGGCGGACTTGACTAAAAATTTGATATTCGTTTTGAATGATTTCAAATACTGCTGTAATTCGTCCAATTAAGTCTTGCTCTGTTTTTACTGGAGTTTACTAAACCAATCCATGTAAACATGTCCACACAGGAAAAAATCTAGCGACGTTAAATCGGGTGACCTAGCAGGCCAAGAAACTGCTCCACCTCTGGCAATCCAACGGTGTTCAAACCGCTGAGCCAAATACTCACGTACTTGTACAGCAAAGTGAGCCGGCGCTCCATCATGCTGATACCACATTTGCTGTCGAGCGTTCAATGGAACATTTTCAAGAAGTTCTGGAAGAACCTCCAAGAAACGCCGGTAAATAGGTCCTGTTAACCGTTCTGGTAGAAGGTATGGCAATGTGACGTGTGCTACTTGATGGTTCGTCGGCAACTCGCTGAAGGACCTCTTCTCCAAATTCGACCGTTCTTGCGATTCGAGCAACACCAGTATCATGCATGTTGGTTTTAAACATGCCTGTCTCGAAGAGCTGCCGATGAATAGCAATACACGTTTTGTATCCCCGATGCTGTCGTTCGGCATAACGTTCTTGATACAACCGCGCTGCTGCTCGTGCATTGCATCTTGTTGCTTCGTATGCCAAATGCATATCCGCCAATTCTTGATTGGTAAAGTTTTCCATTAGCAACAATTAATTTTTGTTAAATTCTTGTAAACATCGCAAATACGATAGCACGACTAAGGCAATATGGAATGATGCAACAAAAAACAATCTCTGTTATTGTTTTCAAAGATAATAATACACAAGCGCTGGATATGGGTCCCTATACTCAAATGTTTTCTACTGTTACACTGAATAATGCCTACAAGTTTGATCCCATAGTTCTGAAACACCCTGTATAAGGAAAACCGTATTAAACTCACCGCCCCAATACCTCTTTGTTCATTGCTATGATCTGTGATCACAATTTGAATTCGACGGATTTTGCATATAAACAAAATAAATTTATCCTAAAAGCTGCAAGTGGGGTAAGGGGGAGGAGAAAAAAGTCTTACCTCATCTAAACTCTCTTTTGGTAAAAAGAACGTGGTACTGAGTAGACTGCAGTGAGATGAGCGAATGTAAAATCGTTTGTCACGCAGCTAATATTTTTTGTGAAAAAGGAAAACGTAAACTTTCAGTGCCACCTGACGCAATTTTTTGCGACTGCAATTCCTCAGATTTCATTCTCGTGCAAAAATGCATTTCGTCCTTAAATAAACCCTTCTGATTGAACTATATCTGGTTTTGAAATCAATACTATGCGGTAAAGTAAGGTCGGCGATTGCAGTAACGCTGTTTAGATATACAAATATCAGTGTCTGACATTCGATGCTCTTATAAATTGAACCTTTTATCGCATAAGCTCAGTGCTTGTGTCCTATCGCCAATAATTTAGCGCGCCATCGAGATCACCTTATTCAGAATAGGCGTGTACACTAGGGTGAGGCGAAAAGTTGAGTCATTTTGCACTAACTCTGTTTTCCGCTCGACGGCCTTTTTTAAGTGTGCCGAAATCGTGTGCTACCTGCTTTCTTCATTCAAGAACATAACCTACTTGAGGATGATGGCAACCTCTTGTGTTGTGTTTTACTTCTTCGTATGAAGAAAACAGAGAAAAGTGCCCTGAGAGAATATCTGCACAAAATATGTCTAACGTAACAGAGATCAATCTGGAAAAGAGTCTGCACTATGGCCCGATCTTACTATTGACCGTGGAAATCAAAATGGGTGCTTAGGGCGCAAATTCGATTAGAAAGAATTTCTGTATTAATGGGTGTGATGAATATTGTCGACTTCATGTAAAATATTTCTCAATCTAGGGAGAAACTATACGATTATTGTAAGGTGTGCCTTTAATTGCCCCATATTAAATCAAGAAACACCTAACAAATCACCCGTTTTTTTCTACAAAAACCGTATTTCTTTAGTCAACCCAGAGCGCTAGATTTGCGAATAGTAGTAATATAGCCGATTTCTTCTAAGCTACCTCTCAAACAAAAATTATACAAGTTGTGTAAAATGGACCAATAATCCCTACAATAATTTGAAAAAATATCCATAAATCACATGGATTAGTACAAAAAACTTATTATGTCATTTGATTCCTGGCGAAAAATTTGCAACTAGGTTGCAGATTCTACCCATCGGAAACAACCACGTATCTAAAAATAAATAAATGAGAAACTTTGTTTTTAGATACAGTG